CCCCCCCCCAAGAACAAGTTCTTACATTTACCGTGGGTCGTAATGAACATGAGAACGACTGCAGGTTTTGCAAACCTCAATTTAGTGATACTCGCCCACTTGATGCCCAGTGCTTAGACATCATTGTGAAAGCGCATCGGGACACCTACGCATTCAACGAGGAGTACAATCAGCCATCGTATGATGAGGTAACTTTGAACCTATTTGAGGCAGCGAACAATTGGCTAGGTAATGGTTGTCGTTCAGCGTTTCCCCTTCGGGTTTTCGAACCGTTTACGAAAAAGGCGGTTATTTACAGAGAGTTGTCGTGTGGCTTTCAGGATAAGTAAATGCACTAAGACGAACTCAACTAAAAGGGATTCAGCCGCACATATTAAAATCAACACACATTCCAGAAATATTGGTCCCGGCGTATCAAGATATTTTGGGTGATACCTCCTCCAAATTTAAGAACTTCATAATCACCCTGTGTCTAGAGGGATTGGGCGTGGATCACTATAGCGATCCTAGCTTACGCCCGGACCAAGTCCGTGTGGAGAACGATAAGTTTGGTGGAGCGTGACTGCACTATCCATATATGGTGTGTGCAGCAATTCCATGCACTAAAGACTACTTTCCATCATCGCATGCATATCAGCAAGATCTTTCATTGGAGTGCTAATGCGTCCAGCAAATATCGAAAAGCGTACAACTACCAGTTCCGGTTCAGAGAACGGCTACACTAGAGACAGGCTGTACACTGCGCATACCAGAAGGGTCCATAATTCCCGGAAGAAATGGAGGCTTAGATCCAACGAACTCTCCTTCATAGCGCATGGATTGTGTAAGACGTTTCTCCTAGTAGTCTCTTCGGGGCCCGTATCCGCTCCGGCTCAGGTCCGCGGTGGTTGATATGGTGCTGCTGGCAACGGTTGTATACAGTCCAATAGAGGGCGGAGTTTACCTTCGTACTAGTACGTGTGAAAAGTGCGCTAAGTGGGGCGACTGGATTTTGCTGGCGGGCTAACAATAAACATGAAGTTTGACGGCGGGCTTGTGGTGTTGGAAGTGAATAAAGATCTGGCTTGAGTATCGAGCTAGACTTCGCAAGATCCCAACGCTTGAAGTAGCTCACTAGCTTCAAGCAGGTCCATTTTTACAATGCTAACGTAAAAAGGTAGAAATGTAATAATTGCAATTATTAATCAGTTTTTTTTTTCTTATTAACCCTT